TGCAAATTATGAATACATGGGTCCCAAGCAGCCTGTGGAACTTTTCTGATGAGACGTCAGGGTCTAAGAATTTCCTAGTCCATGAACCTGGATGCATTGATCCCCAAACGCTACTCAATCCATGCTTTCTTGATATTATTGGCAAGCCCCAATATTTTTAGATACTAATCAAAGAACAGTGTACAGTATGTGTAAGAAATTGGATGTTTGAATATGTATATCTGATAGTTGAGACACACAAAAACTAGTAATTTCTGCCCTCTAAGGAAGGAAAATGACAAATTTACCCTTTTAAAAATTTTATTTAAAAAATGCTTTTGATATCTACTAAAAGTTAAAAAAAAAATTCTCTCCATGGGAAGCCTTGAATCCATGAAGGCTAGTCTTCTTTGGGGACATCTCATTCATTGAAAGTCTGTTTTGGTTCAATCCAAAGCTTCAAAAAAAATGACTAGTTTTTCTGCCATAGCCCGAATCAACCTCGTTAGCCACGTTTGCAGATCTGTATTCTAAACTGGGAGGGTCTGGCTTGTCTGCTGAAAAGACACCTCTGGGAAGACGACTGTGCTGTTTTACACATCTGGGGAGTGTAATTCATCCAAGGAACTTGGAAGATAAACTATCAACCTGAGGCTGGAAACCATGAAAACTAGGAACAAAATCAAAAATGGACTTTAGATAATCTGTAGTTGAGCTAGACATTTTTAGAAACTAATCATGAGATCAATTGAATTTGTTACTTAGTAACACAAACCACTTGATTCTATCAGTAATAATGAAAAATCTTTGATAAATCCTGGTTTACTTTAATCTGAACCATTTGAAAGATTATGGTTTCACACACACACACAAAGGGGTTAAAATTTCAGATTCCAGCTCACAGTTAAGAGTTCACCATTGTAAATTAGGAAGTTTGATGGGCCCACAGTACTTCTTTGGTATCCTCTGGCTACCTTTACAAGGACCCTCTGCTCACTTGCAAAATGGGGTTCGTAATATGCCTAGATGGTGTTGGTGATGGTCTGTGAATGGAAAATGTTAGAGCAAAGGCTAAAAATGATCTGCCGATGAAGATAGACACTGCAAAGGGACCATCAGAAGTCCAGATTAAAGATGCTGCAGAAATTCATGTTTGGTTCAGGTAGTAATCCTAACTTGAAATGGAGGTTGACGTAGGAATCAGAAGAGGATGGTAATGAGGACACAAGATAGCTGTGAACAGGCTTCCCCTCTAAATTACCACCTTCCTGCAGACCTGAGTTGTCATAATGTAAAATGTGTGTCTGACCAAAGACACTGGACATATGTAAAGATGTAAGAATATTAACAGCTACATTATAAACCATTAAAAAACCCCAAAGCCTATCAATAGGGAATTGGTTAAAAGAATTGCAAAGTTATTAAAAAGATGACATATTCATTGGTGTGGAATACCTTTTTGTAAAAGCAGGCTGCAAAACAGGACATATAATCTTCTAAACTCATACATGTAAACATTGGTATGTGAGTATAAATGCAACTATCTGATAGAGTAGCAATATCTGTAACATCTCTAGGTGATCAGATTTTGAAGGATTTGGGGTCTTGTTTTTTGTCTGAATTCCTATGAAAGCTTGAATTGCATTTATAAACAGGAACGAAATCATACCTGAAATGAAGCCTGACATACGTTTCTATAGTTTGGTAATGGCCTTGTCCCTATGCTCACTTGTATCATGTGGAAATTGCAGAATCTGTAAAACTTAGCATTACTGTCTTGGGTAAACATCTAGCTAGCACTGTGGAGGTAAGAGGTGGTCTCTGCTCTAAATGTTTTTAATTCAAGTGAGACAGCATCATTCAACAAACCTCAAATGCCTATGTACCAACACTGTTATAGACAATAAGACACAAAGCAGTAACTGGCACCTTTTCCTATAAATTATTTCAGTGAATTTTAAATACTTCACTCATTAGGATGGCTATCAAATAAAAACGGCAAGAATGTGAAATTGGAACCCCTGTGCACTGTTGGTGGGAATATAAAATGGTATAACCGATATGGAAAACAGTATGGGGTTTGTAAGAAAATTAAAAGTAGAATCACCATATGATCCAGCAATTCTACTTCTGGGTACATATCCAAAAGAACTGGAAATAGGGAATCAAAAGAGATCATTTGTACACCCACGTTCATAACAGCATTACTGACAAAAAATGGAAGAGCCAAGTATTCAGCAATAGCTGCACGGATACGCAAACTGTGGCATATACATACAATGGAGTATTAATCAGCCTTTGAGGAAATTCTGCAACATGCGACATCACATATAAAATGAGTATTAAATAAGCGCGTTACAAAAGGCAAATATTGACTTCACTTACATGAGGTAGGCAAAATCATAAGCATATAATGGTGGTTGTGAGGGGCTGAAGAGAATGAATGATGCTTAATATAGTTCACAACTTATGGGGATGGGTAATAGTAATGGTTGCACGATTGTAATACTGTTGAACATACACTGAAAAAACGGTTGTGTATTTTACCAAACAAAAAACCCTAGCCTGACTTAAAAGGTGGGTCAGATTTGTGTAGGCAAGATTTAGAAAATAAGTAGATGAGGAATAGGCAATTTCTGCAGAAAAGTAGTGTATGCCTACATGTGTGGAACACTGAAGGGCAGAAGCAATTCCATTTCTCCAGCCTGGGCCAAGAACTTTTTTGGTTTTGTGCAGCTCAGCTGCTGCTTAGAGAAATGGGTCAGAAACACACTCTACTTGAGAAGCAGCCACAACCAGGAAAATGAATTAGGAGGTCTCTAATACTAGTTTCACCTTTTGTTTTATCAAGAATCATTTAAACTGCAATCCCTTTCCACGGGCTCTCAGGACACTACAAAATAAATCAGAATGCAGTTTCTATGGGAAAACCTTTAAGAGTCAAAGAAATGGCATCCAAGATCATAAAATATTAGACATTCTGCTATTGAGTTGGGCATGTTCGACTTTTGTCTACTGTATCCAATAGATTGTCTTTCTTTTCACATACCCTATAGTACACCTGGTTTTTACAGAACTTTTAAATTGTATGGAAATCATAAAACTTTTTAAGGCTGTAACTATTAAGTTCCAGAAAAGGTCAGAGCTAAAAATTTTGACATTCTTTAATGTTTTTAAAAATTACTCACATAGTACCTTCTCACTCAGAATTTTCAGTCTTCTCATTTTGGCATGTCATGTATTTAATTAGTACTTTTGAGCTCTAGCCAACTAGTTTATCAGCAGTGATGATAGATATTTCCACTTTTGCTATTTACTTGAAATTTCAACCGTTATCAAGCCGTTTCATTAGTTCCTATGTTGTGATTAAGAATGGTAACAGCAAAAAAGAAACACGGAAAAGAAAAAACTCTCTGGCAAAATAAATTCCAAAGACTGTTTCTGCCCCACTAACCTTCCTTAAAACATCTGATTGCACCAGGTCCCCAGAAAATTACAAGATTTTAATGTTCCGAGCAAAAAATACACTCGGGAAAGCAGTTTTCTAGGGTTCTGAAATGAGGTGTCTCTCACTAAAAACAAAACAAAACAAAACAGCTTTGCACAGGCCCCCAAATGGTGATTATTTACCAGCGTTTCCCTTACTTTTACGTTTTGAACAGTAGCAAAACTTGCAGTACTCCAAAAAATATCTAATCCATGCATCTGATTACAATTATCTAGCAAAAACACTTCCTCAGCTACAAGTAATCTTTCTCAAATATCGTCTCCACACTTGACATCACCACCACCCGATTTGTTAGAAATGCAAAAGACTTAACCAAAGCTCAGCACATCATAAAATCTAGGAGGGCCCAGCAATGTTTCAACTCAATCTCCAGGTAATTTTGATGCATGTAAACATTTGAGAACCACTAGTCTAAAGGAAAAGTATCTTGGCCTTACCTCTGACATTCATTGAACTTGTATCAGAGTGAAGTGGCACTTTAAGCCCAGGTTCAATAAACAGCTAAGGGTCTCTGCCAGGGACTACAATCTCAAACTCGTTGCCATTCAATATTTGAGCTTTCAGCTATACTGTTATATTCTATGGAGAGCAAGAGAGTTCACAGAGCTGCTTGGAGCATTATTGCAAATTATCTTAAACAGCCCACAGACCCTACCAATTGTTACTGATCTTTAAAAATGTTCTGCAGTGTTCCTGCAAGATTTCTCCTACACACCATGAACCTCTCATTTTTACATGGTAATGTATTTTACTGTTCAAAGACACCAAAAATTTGTGGTGAACTAAGCCAGGCAAAAAATGTGTATTCTTAATACCTGCCGTAATATTTAGTAGTGCATTATTTCCTTTTGTCCCCATCACCGTTAAAAAAAAAAAATTTCAGAAGATATAATCTTAAAAAGTTCCTTAGAATCATACCACTTAAAATCTTTACAGGAGATAGTATTATATTCTATGGGTAGAAATCCTTCTTCATAAATAAATTTTAAATGAAATTATACATAGGATACCCCAATACGCTGATCCCAAATTTTTCAGTAATGTTTAAAAAAGAAAAAAGGCTGCAAAACAAACTCAAGGTATTTATAAAGTTTCCCCCACAGGATATATGTAAGATTAAACTAAAGGCTAAAATGGAGGTGAGAAAAATGTTAAAACTTTACAGCAGGTTTAAGTAGAAACATTCTTACTAAATAAAGGTTTGCCATAATCTGGGAATAAGCTGTTACAGGTTTATTTATGAGAATTTCTGCTTTCTAAATGCTATCAGATGAAGCTATATCTTTTCTACAGCTTGGTACATCCAACAAAGTAGGGCCTATGGGAAAAAAGCTATCATTGACATGAAACAATTAGGAATTCCATTGTACACATAATGCTTTGTGTAGTTGTTGTTAGTTAAAAGTTGGAATTAAACAAAAGTGGGTAATTAGTATAGGCCAAAATTAAACTGAAGAAACTGGCAAAATTTTTTTGTTCATGTTACATTAAAAAATATCATGACCTGCAGAGGTATACCATAAAATTTTATTGAAATATTTGAAATATCCTTTAATACACTTGGAACTAAGAGTTTCAAAAAGAATTCCTGTAAGTTCTTATTAAATTAAAAAAAATTTGAGAACTGATACTCCCTTATACTAAGACCCCCAACATTTTGAAAGGCTGCTAGAATTCTTACTATTCCACCATGTTACTTTCAATTTTACTGTTAACTACTTCGACATGTCTAAACATTAGCATTTGCTATTTGTCTTTAGCATTTATAACTCCTGAGGTTTAAAAAAACCAATAGTCCCACTTTTGTTATGTAACAGGAACAAGAAATCCACCAGCACCAAAAACTTTAAAATTCATATCTTTAGTAGCAATCTTCAGAACACTCTAGATTGAAAATGTAAAAATTTGTTAAAGCATGCAAAAGTGTAACAGTGAATAAAAACCACAACTGACAATATATTGGTTAACATTCCAAACATGTATAACCAATGAACATGGCCTAGGTTTTTTTTTTATTGGTATTCACTTCAGAAACTTGAATCCACAGATATAAGCAGTATATAACCAGAAAGTTACAAGTAAACACAGATTATACATGCAAATTTCTGTTCACAAAGATCACATGTGCAGGTATATGAATTAGAAGCGTGCGTCTAGCTTATGGCCAAACTTTTTAAAATGCAGAAATGTAAAATTACATCTTGAAAATATGAAGAGATGGTCTACACACTTCAAAAATCAAATGTTGCTTATACCAGATGTATGACAGCTATAGGATTCAAGTGACAAGCAATAAGGTTTCAAGAAATTAATACTGGTCAAAGAGAATGGGAGTATTTTTACATTTCACTGAAAATACATTGACTACTAGAATACGAAATCTAGCAGGAACTTAGGGGAAAAAATTACAAAATCTAAAGCCAATTACTTAATATTTCTTATTACCTAAGCAACAGCATAACATTAAAAGAAAACTGCACCTGCATTTTAATTGCTAATCACACATTAATGAAGTTCTCCGAAAATGAAATGTAACCAAAAAAGCTTCAAACTCCAAATGAGAAGTCTACAAGGCTCAGATTAAAATGTGGAATGTTTCAGATGAAAGTAATAAAAATACAATTGGTTTTGTTCTTTATTGAATGGAATCAAAAGTTTTGACATTTCTTTGAAGCTTAGAACTACTAAATTTCATTTCTTTGAATAGTTCTACGTATCTTTTTCTTAGTGGTGCAAGTTGTCTTAAGTAGTTTACGAAGTCAGTCTCTACAAGTACTTCTGTCTGTTACCATTTCGATAAAACAAAAACAATTTTTCATTAACTTAACCGTATATGCATTTTTGCTATAACACTTAACACATGAACAGACATCTATTATTTTTCCACTAAAACAAAAGAGTACAATAGTTTTCTTCTAACTATCAGTATTGTATTTTAAAAAAGTTAACATTAAAAACAAAGAACCATTATTTTCTTTTGAAATCATTAAGATTCTTGTACATCTTAAGCTTCCTTCTTCTGCCTGCGTTCTTCTGCCAATTTATTCAGAAATTTCTGAAAAAAAAAAAAAAAATTACAGGAATTGTTACTTAAGAAAAACATAAATGGATATTAACTCTAAAATAAAATATTTTATTCATGTTTGACGACTGGAGTGCAATTTAACTATATAACCTTACCACTATTTTAAAGATTCAATTATTCCTATTAAGGTACAAAACTAAACCGGTTCAGGACACAATAACGCATTGGAAGAAAATGGTCAAATATGAAAAATGGTTACTTGAATGTGCAATTAACCCTAACTTATATAGATAAGAAAATAAGAGCAGTCACAGAGAGGAACTGCCACTACTCTTTAAGAATGTATGATTAAAATGGCATGCAATTATTCGATGCTTTTTCTACTAAAAGAGGGCAAAATTTTCTTCAAGAGCTTGTAGTAAATATTTGAGGTTTGTGGGCCATTTAGTCTTTATTTACACTCCTCAATTCTGTTATAGCAATAAAAGTAGCCATAGGCAATACTTAACCCATTTCCTGTATAGGGGAAAAAAGTACAGCTCACTGCCAGCATTAATTTAATTTTACATAAACACGTTCTTTGAGGCTGAAGCAAACCTGACTGGTTTTCCATGAGAAAGTAAAATATAAAAACTGTTCTTGGAGTTATTTCTAAACAGAACTTGTCTCTAATTCTAATGTGACAGAAGCATACACAGAAATCAGATTCATCAAATGAATCTTCAGCTAACTGTCCGAGAACAATGTTAATATCATGTATAGGAATGCTACGTTTTCTAAGATTTGACATTTTTGTGATCAAGAATTATTATATTTTGTAAATGGTAATACCACTACTAATAACAGAATGCTATAAACAGAATGTCATTTGTTTCCAAAGACTATTAATATACTCAAGTGGTGCGAAAATAATAGATATTTCATGGCAAACTTGGGGGTAAGGTTAGGACTGTAACTTGCGAGTTATCTTGGGGTAAATGCTGCAATGTCTTGGGGTAAATGCTGCAACCGCAAGCGCTGCTGGTGAGTATTCTCAGTGCAAACAGGAAATGGGTTAAATAAATAATCATGGCTGTGTTCCAAGAAAACTTTATTTACAGACGGCAGCAGCTGGGCCACAAGTGTAGCTTGCTGACCTTTGTATTAGACCTGTAACTTCTACAGTTCCTGGACACCAGAGATCTGTTAGGACCTTAATGAAAGCACCAAAAAAAAAATAATAATAATAATAAAAATAAAATAAAATAAAATTTAAATGTAATCTAAACATGAAAAGTTTCGTCGCTTTTGGTTGAAGTTTATCAACTGTATAGTTATTACAAATTAATGAGAATTAAAAGCCATCATATCCTTAAAAAGAAAAAAAACCTCCCAGTTAGAAAAACACTGCGTTACTATTAGGCAAGATATTGTACTACATTAATAATAAAGTTGACTAAGTTCCTTTAAAACAAGAATAGAGCCACTCCCAATGGAACAAATATCTAGAAAATTAAAATAGCTAGAAAATCTTAGCTAATACTCTCTATGAAGTATATCAAGCACCCAGAGACCACTTTTATATTTATCTAAGTAATAGACATAGTTTCTGCCTGGCACCAAACAGCTTGATATCAAATCAAATCAGACCTATTAAATTGTTTCTACCTCTGAGAATAACTACCATTCCTTTTCCATATCCATGATGGTTAAGATAGGTATAAGCAGCAAACACTTATATTTAAAACAAATGATTCAGCTAAGTATTGGATTTCCTAAATTCAATGCTATCTTTATCTAGTCAATGCAAAGAACATGTTTGAATATTTTGTATTATAAAGCAGTGTGGAAAACCAAGTTATCTACAATTACGAGGTTTTTAACTCAAATCTTTCAAGTTTTCCCATTATTTATTTCAATGCTTAGTCCTTAAAGAAGCCACTAACTAAAATACGGAATTTTAAAATATCCAAAAAGGAATTTGTTATTGTTATGCTTTATTCATTTATCCCAATATTTTTATTTTCTGTTGGTCATAAGACTTACTAAAGTGTCATTCCTAATAAATAATAATTTAAAGTCAATGCAAAAATGATGAGACATGGCACTTTATAAAGTTGGAAAAGCTCTATATCATGCCGCTTGGTCTTCAGGCCTCCAGTATTTTCCAAATTAGAGAAATTACAGTCTAATACTCATTTGAGAACACTTTCATTTTATCACAGAATTTATAACATGGTTGGAAATTACCAAATTATCATTTAACTAGAGTGTACTTTAGAAAGAGGCTGAACAGATGTTTCTAGAATTGATTTAACTGCATTAGGCTCACCAAAAGAAAACTGTTCTCTCTCAGTCCACAGACAGTATTACACACATTTTACTCTCTATAAACTTACATGATTTGTTAGTTTTCACAAAAGAACTCTTCCTCTTTAGGATTTAGCCTTACCTTTAATTTCTGATAATGAGGAAGGCTGCTGCAATGAGTATTCTTTGCAACTTCTTCATTTGTATAAAAGAGTGAACACAGCTTACAGTAAAACCCTGTTTTAGGTATCACATAGTCTATACCTAGAACACAAACATACATTCTTACAAATTCAGTAAACTGAGTATTTTAATTAGTGTTCTCAAATCTTTTTTTCCTGTCAGTATAATCTGAATGAGATAACATTTATGAGAAGTCCAGTATAGCCTAAGGTAAAACAAAATCAAACAAAAAAACAGCATTAGTTAACAGAATTGTGTTTAATTGTTGTGTAAGGTTCCACCTATTTTATAGTCTTAAAAAGGCAGAAATATAACAGGTAAACAAAATAAAAGGCAATGTGAAATTCTCAGAAACCTTTATGAGGGAAAAAGAGAACATATTGTGTAATGATAAAAGATAATACAAAATCAGGAGACTTAGATAAGAAAAGAGAATGCATCACTCAAGATTTACAAATTGTTTTGTACAGAAATAAATTTGAAACACTATCAGAACTCATGTTAAGACCAATTTAAAAATCTTATTTAATAAGAGTTTGGGGAGGGTGCGAGGGGAAGAACAAAGCCTTAAAGCTCACCAACAGGAACATTGGGCTGATACGGTCCAATTCTATACTCATCTGGGATTGTATAGTCCTCCTTGTTTTCGTCACTTTGGCCATCTGCATTTTCACTTGTATCTTTGTTGGGATCATCAGCATTCTCAGCAGATTCAGCGCCTGGTTCTGTATTTTCCTCATTTTTAATTCCATTTTCCAACGCTGCTTCATTTTCTTGATCAAGTTCCTCGATCTTGTCCACCTTAATTTCAACCAAACCATCATCATTTTTGTCACCAGATTTAAATGCCATGCCCGATTTACGAAGTTTCTGAAGTTCCGAATCTTCCTCATCACCAACCTCATCTAGAGTGACAAAACCTTCCATACTCCCTGGGAAACGACGCTGTTAAGAAAGACAAATTTACTCTGCAACAATTATCCTGCAGCATCCCTTCCATTTGCTTTACTTGAAGGGAAAGGGATAGCGTCTTTGTCTTTATTCATTTTCTCGAAATACTTTTTCCTCCCCCCCGCCAAATTTACTGACTTTTTTAAAACAAGCTTGTTTTAAAACTAAAGGCTTGCCTCACACAAAGAACAGAAAATAAATGATATGAGGATACTCATATTCAAATGTCTACACTTTCTTAGAATTTTATGCTTCTAGGGAATGTATCAAAGAACTGACTTAAAATAAGTAATTGAGTGATGTCCTTTGGAAAACAGTATCTTATAATACAACTGTTGTTTAGAGAACACTTAGTCTAGAACAGTATAGCAATTAAAAAAAAAAAAATCAAGTACTGGAGCACCACTACCTAGGTTTAAATTTTGGCTCTGCCACTTATAAGCACCATGACCATGGACAATTGAATTTCCAATGCCTCAATTTCCTCATTTCATGAAATGGGAATAACAAAGGTATCTACCGCACATCGTTATCATGAGGATTAAGTTAATTATCACACAGAGCTCAGAAAAATTTCGTTTTCTCATAGTTGAATGTTTCTTAGAAGAAACAAATAGAATAAAAATTTCATTTCAAAAGCCGTTTTAATGCTCTAATCCTTAATGTAATCATTAAGAGTTGGTATACCATGGCTCTTTTACTTTTCTTTATACTATGAATGTATTTTTATATTCATATTCACCTGACATGCTCTTATTTATAACATATGTTCTAGAAAAAATGTTTTTAAAAGCTATTAAAATATATGATCACGCTTAATATTTCTCAAATAAAAAAATTCTTCAAGTTCAATAATACTGGAATGATTGGCAAAATATTTTAAGTATCTTCGGTCAGTTAACTTATTGCAAACTCATACCCCATCTTTTTACAAACAAGCTCAACTATACAGCTGCCTACAAGTACTTAAGTACTTATATACTACCACTACAATATAGAAGTATGTAATAGTTTTAAGTATTTCTCCTTCATTACTAAAAAGTTCTTTGGGAGTTGATTTTTGCCAACTATAATAAGAGTCCTATTTAATGTTTATTGCAGAGTTTAGATTTAAATGTTTATATTATGGTTCATATCTGATTTTTTCTAATATAAATGACTAATTCTCTCTGATCTGACCCTGCTATGGTAATTAATTTGAAAACTTTTATTTGATCTAGTTTTCTATTAAAACAGGCCAATATACAATCTTTCTTTACCTTTTTAAGCTTTTTCTTTGCAGCTGCTGAAGCACTTCCATCTTTTTTCACAGCTTTGTCTGAAGGTTCCTTTTTCCCATCAGAAGTCACATCACCTAAATTAGCAAGATCTGTTTCATCTCCCACTGAACTGCCACTTTCTAGCAGTGCTGCTGCTTCTTCTTCATCTACGAGTAATTCATCTTCGGATTCAAGAAGCATGCTAGGTTCTTGTTCTGTCTGGTCATCCTTTGTATCTTTTTCACCATCTTCACCTGACTTCTCTTCTTGTTCTTTACCTTCATTTGTACTTTCAGTCTTCTGAGAACCATCAGTTTTGGATTTCTTATCACTAGGAGATTCTTTGCCATCTGGAGAATAAGATCTTTTTCTGAAATCAAAAAGATATACCTCATTAAGTCTCTTGAGTTGGAAAACAAGTTTAATATACCAGTGTTCTCTCTCTCTCTCTCTCTCTCACACACACACACACACACACACACACACACACACACAACATTACCGGGATTTATCTTTTTTCAGTAAGTCAATGCCTCTGTTGGGAATCTAAAAGACAAAATTTTGCATTAGTTAAATAAATGTATTAAAATATTTACAGAATATGTAATTGCCCAATTAATAATTGATAATCATCCTTTATATAATCAACTAATAAGCTTATTAATCCCTATAACCATACCTAAGATTTTAAGCTGCCTATAGGCAGCAGTTCATCACAATATTTCGATGGAAGAGTGGATAATTAATATTTTGGTAGAACACTGTTCAAATAAAATCTAAAATATAGTAGATAAAAGCAATAATGGTGCTTTTACAGAACACCAGATAAAAAACTTCTTCTGAGGAAAACCAGAAAAAGAAAAAAGGTTGCTGTCTTTCAGTAACTAAACCTTTCAATAAGAATGTGGTGACTTGAATTATGTGAAAATAAGCTTTACAATGATTGCAAATGAAGTACTACATACCCTTAGTACCAATTTTTTATATTTTTCAGACAGGTCAACTTTCACACATCTCCCCTGGAACCAAAGGGCCTTTTTCAAACAGTGGTCAACCATTGCCATTGCATCTTCTCTGGTCTCCATCTCTATAAATGCCTTAAGGGAAAAAAAAAAGTTAGAAAGGACATTATTTTTCTAAGAACTGTATAGAATTCTTGTGCTTATTATTTTTTCTAAAAAGTTATTAAGAGTTAAAAATTCATTGAATAAAATAAGGAGTACTTGTCAGATTTACAAAGTAGTACCAATTAAACTACCTATATGTAAGGCTTTCTGCCAAAAAAAAAAAAAAAAAAGCTTAAAAGATATTACTCAAAATACCCTAAAAACAAAAAATTAATAATTTAAAAAAATCTGTAACAGACAAAAACTCAGAATGCTGTTAAAGCAAATTGCATTAAAAAAAAAAAAAAGAAAAATCACGTATAATGTGGAAAGCAATACAATAATCCCAGTTGAAGCAAGAATAAATAACAACTATATACATACACATAGGAAGATCTTGGAAGCAAACCCTGGAAACAAAACTGTCACTATCCTGAGCAAGAGACAACACTTTTATTTCCCACTTTAAACTTTTCAGTATTTATTCAATGCTTTACTTGGATCATCTATGACAACATAAAATTATTGCTTGGCTAAGAAATTTATCTATGAGAATATAAAAAAAAAAGAAAAACACACTCCTGCTTTCTTTACTAAAAATTATGCACAAAAAAGTCTTAAAGCACTTAATCCTTTTTACAACCTCTACATGTATATTACCTGACTTTTCATCCTCATCAGTATATAATTCTTTATTTTCCCATAAGGCTCAGCAAGCTTAAGGACAGCACTGTCAGAATATCCAGAATGAGGTAAATTGCTGAGATGTATCACTCGTCCAAGCTCTTGCTTTTGATCAAACTTCTGATCTGGCTTCCCTTCAGGTTTCTTTAATAACACGGGAAAAAAAGGCGCAAGTCAAATGTTGGTAGGTATGCTATAATTATTAGCTAATAGTATTATCCTAGTTATTAGCAGCAATTTTAAATATCTAAAGTTAATAAATATTAAAATGATGTATTAAATACATCATTTTGTATTATGTATTAAATACAATACAAATTTGGAAAAATAAATATTACCTTTATTCTTTTATACTTCTGGGATAAATGAACTCTCACTGGCTTGCCAAATACTAATGCTGGTGTGGTTGTATAGTAATCCACTGCAGCCTGAGCATCCTCTGTGGTTGCCATTTCAATAAATGCCTGAAATCGCACACAAAAAAACTATTTCAAACAAACAAACATTGCTCAGTCTTTCCAGACATATTTAATCATTGAATAAAAAGCACTTCGAAAACTCAACATTGCTAACTTGCTGTTTTATTAAAGGTCATCATATATTTTTTTTTATTATCTTCACACTACTAAAGCTATCATTTATGCCCACTAGATTAGAAATGATTTGGTACCATTTTGGTAAAAGTCTGAAATGGTTTTCCAAGGATCCTTTTACAGCCTTTCTCGTAATATAGTGATAATGACAATTTACTACTTAAGAACCAATTTATAGTTACTAATTATTCATTAGCACCAGAATTTAGTTATTATAGCAAGTCCTTAAATAACATCTTTTCATTATAAAGTTTATGAAATGCCGAATCAACTTTAATTTACAATTAGCACGTGGCAAAAATGGTTTCATCATACATTGTTTTATTTAAAAAATCTATTGACAACATAAGTGAGGACTCATATATTATCACACTTCAACTACTGGCTTTTCTCCTATACTTCATTCTATATGGATGACTTAAGATTACATTGAGTGGTTTTTCTATACAAAGCCATGTAATCCCTCTAGGAAATAAAAGGAATTATATCACTAAAGAAAACAAATCCCTTTAGTGATGAATAAATACTATACTTATTTCAACTCATACCTCATTGATTTTATTTAAAATCAGATGATTGGAAATTACTCCAAATGGTTCCACCAGCTGTAATAATTGATATCTTAAGTTTTTCCCTCGCTGAAAATCCATGATGTGAACAACTCGGCTAGTTTCCTATACATTAGGAAACAATTCATGTCAGTAAGGCTCTTTAAAAGCAATATGAAACAGGTTATACATTAAAACTTTTATAGTCTAATAGTAACCAGAGAACATTTTAAGTATTTAAAATAACAACTCATAACAAACATTCTAGAGAATTTAAAAACTACACAGGAAATATAATGTCGGTAGGGTAAATCTCGAGTTTCAAAAAAACAGTCTGCACTGAATTTAAAATTGAATACTGTGTACATTACTGGATAGCAAAGTTCTTAAGACTCTGAATCAAGGTGAGAGATATATTGACTATGGGCAAATGAAAATTAAAGTTTTAACGCTTATCAAAGTCACAGGAAATACTGATGGCTTTCAAACTATAGTGGTCTTCCTATAGAAAAGACTGACGCAGATTCGATCAGTAAAGATTTAAGTCAAACCGCATTCCCCCAAAACAGCAGAGAGTAAAAACAAGAGCCGCATTACTGACCACTCTGCCTTTCTGCATGTGTCTTGGTCCTTGCAGGTTCCCATTTCCAGCACCTTTATGCGGGGAAAACATACTTTTTCAGTACTGTAATAACTATATTTGCTATAATAGGTATTTCAACTGAAGAATGAACACCTTTCAAACACTAATAAAAGGATATTATAAATATCATGAGTACCATGTTGTCTCATGCAAAATGTATATAGTACCATGTTATTTTCAAATAATATTTTAATGAGCCTTCTTTTGCCCATAATCACTCCATTTTATTTTTACATAAATTTTATAATCACCTAGATTTCCTCTTGGTCCAACTGCTGGTCCCCCAAGATGAAACGAGGGAGGTGGAGGTCCCAGAATTCCTGGTGCTGGGTTTGTAGACTGCTGCAACATGAACGGATCACCCCTAGTAATGTGAGAACATAAAACATGAGCATCATAAAGATATCCATTAGAAATAATTAAGATTCATTGTTAAAGCACCCCTTATATGACTATGATTTTAATCTTTGGGGGCATTTATGTGTGAAGCAATTAGGAAAACATCTATAATAGCATTAAAGCAAAAATTACTGCATAAGTCCCCCCCCCAAAAGATTCTTTCAACCAAATGACTTTTTACCAAACCCTCAGATTCAATAAAAAAATTCAGAAACTACTTTATGAAATGTTGAAAGTTTAACCTGAATTCCTTACATTGATCTCCTTTACAAACAGCAGCTTAAAATTTTTAACTTACATTGTGTGTCCTGTATCATTGTCAGGATTCCATTCTGGGTAGCTTTAAAAAGACCAGAAAATTAACTTTAAAATAAAACTGTCCTTTTCACAAATTAGCCTTGTTTGGCCCTTAAAATAGAGATTATTAGTAAAATTATTTTAGAGTCTAAGTGTTAGAAATATTAGTTTAAAACATGTCATCTGAATTTTTCCAAAGAAAAATTTCAGAACTCCAAATCAATCCAAACAAATGAAAATCAACTTGTTCTGCACAGTTTGAAAATGTAGGTAATGTTGAAAATAATTTTTTTTTCTGTATTTGTTAAGTCATAGGAAAAGTGCTGCACAAGGGATTGGAAATATGGGCTATACAGGGAAACAAGGACAATAGGTTTTCTTTCTCCAATATTAAGTACCAAGAGGATAGCTGAGTTGTAGACTAGAAAGCAAAGGCAGCACCAATAGAGCAATTGCCATTCCAGTGAACAATGGGGATTGTGTGTTCAATTTCATTCTGGCAGCTTAAACTCAGAACCAAAAGTATCTCAAAAGCAAAAAATTACATCCCAAAGGATATTGCTTGACAGCTAATTTGTAACTACTAACGACTTTCCCCCTTTTCTGTATACTCAATATTTTTGGAGCATGTATTGAAAATGTTCTTATAAATCTATTCTATGTATCAAAAGCTATCTTTAAGTCTATTAAAAATTCTTGTAATTTGTATAAAAAGCCAATGTTTATTTACCCTAAAAATATCAAATAACAAAGTACCACTATCATTGAATCTAATATTCCATGTAAGATTCCAGATATAAACATTTTATTTGTAATTAGTATGAACTATGCAGCAATAACAGTGGATATTACGAGTAAATGATGAACTCCCCAAAACCAATCAATGGCTGTTTGATTCACGATAAGGATGCTTTAGAGGTATTTCAAACTCCTACATTTCAAGAAGAAGCTGGCATCGACGACTGTGACTTGCTCCATTGATATGTTGACTCCACTCCTGCAGCAAAGTAAATTAGTAGAATTAACAAAAACAAAATGAAAATATTTTAATTTGAACCATTCAAACTCTAGGATGTTAATCTATATATGCAATATCATAGGGTGTACAAACACCTGCCATTCACTGATACTGAATTAATTTTAAAACCATTTCTCTAAATCCTTGTAGCTTGATCCTGCCCTCAAATACTCCATGCACATTCTTGGAAAAACTGGACAAAACTTGGTTAACATACTAATAGACCTGACAGGGAAAAGATATAGAGTTAATAAAGATCAAGAATAGTAACTGACTTTGAGATCAGCTAGACATTAATTTCTGTTGTAGACCAAACTATTCATGTTATATTATTAGCATTGCTTTTTTGTAGTACTCTAAATATGACAAAATATCCATGCTTACCTACTTTTCTAGAAAAATATATGCTATAAATGTGAACAATTAGTTAAAAATAGACTTTTTAAGTAATCCAGCCTTTTTAGGTATGCTCCAAATATACTACAGACATAAAAAGCTAAGCTGATTCAACAGGAATGGCTTTTCTAGAAAATGTTCCCCATTTATCAAAAAATTAAGCTCCCATTATACTTCCCCAAAATAAGCCAATTTCAGGATGCCTGTTTCCAACTTTCAAGGGAGAAAAACATTTCATTTGGTCAATACTTGCTCCGTGATTATTTTAAATTTGAAGGAATTAACTTTTTTCTATTTTGTGCAAATAAAATTTCCTTTCTTTACTTGAAAATCCACATATAAATGATTGATGTTTTAGGTAATATAAGAAAGTTGTTAGGAAAAGTAGGCTCTGCCACACTGCCTGGGTTCCATTCTCAAAGTGCCACTTACTAGACGTGAATCTCTGGTAGAAAATATTTAAATTCACTGTGAGTCAATATTATCCTAGGGTTTTGTGAAAAGTAAATGAATAAAGGTAGACTGCTTATCATAACATTGCCCGGCACATAGTAAGTGCTCAAAAAAAAAAAAAAAAAAGTGATTATTACACTGCTTATAAAGTTAACTTGTTTTACAATTCCCGCTTTACAAGTATTATTCTTTTACAAATTCCCACAAAATGAGGCAACTTTTGTGACATCCACACTACCTAACAATTATATTTGGAATATGAAACATGGTCAGGCAATGTTGTTAAAAGGGTCTCACTTCAAGCTGAACTAAAACAAGCAAATTACAAGAGATACCTTTTTAAAATGTTTTAGATCTATATTTTATAAATGGGACCCTAATTTTTAAAAACTACTTTATATTACAAGTTTACATACATTCCTATGCCATAATAGAATTAATTAAAACCCCGTAAGAGAATTAAGATGGAACACATCCAAACAGAATGGCACTTCTCAGAACTTGAAGAGCGCTCTCTTAAAGCTAGATTGTCTTTTGAAAATAATGGCTAATAGCTAAGGAACTCAAAGAGATCTCTCCAGCTGGCTCTACAATCAGATATCTGGGATATAAAAAGGTTTTACTTGCAAAGCAACAGACCATTGACTTGTTGAAGGCCACTTTTAAAATGGCTGTAAGCAAGAGGCGCCATAGGTAAAGTTCACAAAATCCAGAAGACGGATTAAACAATCAACTCAGAATTTTCTGAACTAAAAATATTCTCAGATTTTATTTATAAAATATCCTTGAGAAGCAGTGTGTTGGGAGAGAACACTATATAGTAAGTTACCTTATTAGGAATGCTTCTAATTTACAGGAGATGAAAAGGGTATCTACTTGAACGGAAATTATTTATATCCAATTCCTATGCCCTTTAAAAGTTCAAACTTATGGTAAAACTGTAGCTGATCTTTCAAAGTACTAGAAGGAAGGCTAAGATCAAAGAATCATTTACAAACCTCCCAAGCTCACCCATTACTAATTTGTACTACCACGTCTAACCTTTTACTGTTTGGTGTAAGGTGAGGATTAAGAGTCAAAGGTTTTTTTTAAAAAACTATATCCTTGGAGTCTACACTGAGGTAACTCTAACATCAGAATAAAGAAAAAGAATTCAGCTTTTGAATTTAGAAATTCTGTAGGAAAACTACATTCACCTTGACGTCTTTGAAATACCTAAGTTATATTAAGAAAGGATAATTTGGAGAAATAATTCTAGAATGGCAGAATAAAGAATAACGTAAGGGCCTCTAGAATAATACTAAAAGGAAAAATATGAATTCAAGTGACAAGACAACAAAAGGGCAGTTTTCTCTAGTGAAAGGAATTTGAAGTTGTATAGAAAAGCAACCTGACATTCAAAAGTGACCTAGAAAGAAAAGCAACACCACTGAAAGTCACTTAAAATGTCAAAAATAATGATGACAAATTAGATGTTTTTCACTTAAAAGTTCCTTAAGAAGTTTTGATCATGTAGGTTATTTAATGTTACCACTAAGTGAAAAGAACAGATTTTCCAAGTTATGCAGCAATACCAGAGAGCAGGATGAAATGTTTTAAAAAATTTTCATTACCTACTTGCACCACAGAAATTTTCTCTGAAGTCACTGTATCTACATCAACTACAAAATGAGTAAGGACCACTACTAAACATGAATATCTCTTTTTTTTTCCCCTCCAATAATGCAGGTACCTGGAAAACATCAGCTATGTTAAAGAAATGAAGCCAGGTACTTAAACTTAAAATTGGTCCAATTTACAAATAGAAATTTTGTAAATTAAACAAAGGGCCTCTAAAATAGTTCTTAAATGTTCCCAACATTCTGACAGAACACCAACACTAGCTAGGTACCTCACTCTTGAATCCAGTTTCATTGAATATTTTTAAATTGTTTTAATTTAGATCCATTTACTATCATTATTTATTAATATTGTTCAGAATCTCGAAGGTAACAAAATTTGGAGAAAAAATAATCATACATAAAATAAAAACTTTTCTGATTAAAGTCCTCTCAGTTTCCTTTTATGTTCCTTTACTCAATGATTTTTCTATGTGCAAACAAGGTTAAATTACTGCTCAAAGTCAGGATAAAGAGACTTCCAACAGGTTTTGATTTATAATGACTGCAGTAATAAAGATTTTAAGTTCCTTACAATCACTTTCACTTGAGACACTGTAACTAGCGATTTTCCTTGGAATTCAGAGATCTTTTCTGAGAACACTGATCAATATTGCCATTACTGTAAATAGGCATGAAGTAACAGAAAAAATGGAGCCACTAAAGTTTAATGGACCTTTTCAGTACTGATCAAAAACTAAATTCCATGATATACTTGGTATATCCAACGAATATGAAAAAAGACAACCCCAAAAATACCAAACAAAATTTTCTAATTTCTACGAGTTTGGGGTTCTATGTCTTAAATGGAAATTAATTTATGAATTTAAATTTAGCATTTGCTGTTTATTTTGGTATGGATTAAAGATTAAAATATTCCTTGTTTGTATACTTAAATTATGTTTACATTAATTCAAAAGGTTTTTGTATTATAGAAATACATATTTAGCTAATTACTTTTTAAAGACATTTTTCAAAATACTCTTAATTCAAATAACAAGCCTTTTCTCTTAATCATGAGATCCAAACAGATTAAAAAACAAAATCTAACAATCTGCTTTAGTTTATTCAAAAATTAACTCACTAAAAAATGCATTTAAAAGGGATAAATATGAAAAGAAAATGACCTTTCCAGGTGTTACTGTAAATAAAAAACCCTGTAACATTAACCATCAAGTCAATTTCATGGCAGCAACAGGTTCCAGTTAAACAGAATTAACTACACAGCACATCAGGAAAAATGGATGGTCATAGATTATAGATCCAAACTAGCAGAGTGCTATAATGTTGACTTTAAGTCAACTGCACTGTTTTTTTTGGGGGGTGGGGGTGGGGGGCGGAATCAGAGAATGAGTAAAATTGAAACACTAAAAGAGAAAGGACAACATATTTAAAAGAACTTTTTGATAAAGTTCCCATTTTGCCAGATGTGATAATTAAAGCAAAGGAGAATTCACTACATCTTTGTTTTGTTTTGTTGCTCAAATGACTATACCAGAAGTCTAAGCCTAAGTCAGAAAAAGAATATGCTTATGAGGAAACACAGAGCAGGATACTGCGGTAGTTGATTTTTCCAAGTCTCTAAAGGGATAGATGTAATATGGGACAATAAAAAGTGAGTTCTGAAGTATGTTTAAGAAAGTTGTGGAAAAGGAGAAAAAAAATGATGAAAAATTTCAGTCACAGTATGAGAGTTTGTGTTAAAGGGAAATCAAAAAAGGAAGAATGAACTAATCTAAAATATGAAACATACTGAAACAAACACCAGGGCTCTACATTAACTC